AAAAAAAAAAAAAAAAAAGAAAGTAAAGAACCAGTAATGCTGCCCAGGTTAGTACTAGAGTAGTCAAAGAGTTCTCAAGAGACTATCACCAGTGCTGATACTTTGTAAGAATTGCTTGTTGCTGTGAATCACACAGGCAGGGCACTTGGGATGGACCCCTTATGCCTAAGTCATACCTTCTTCCTAGAATTTCGATCTAGAACTCCAGTATTAAGATGATAAGATACGTTGGGTTCTTTCCAGTGCTATAATTTAATAGCCTTATTCTTTTTAGTAGTTGCTCATCTGCCATCGATGTTATGGATGGATTTAAGTTGCATGAAGCTGGTTAGGCAGGTCTCAGAAATTGGAAAGTGTGGGCAGACATCTGCTGTGCTACTCAGTGGCTTAGCTGTTGTATTCGTTTCTGTGCTAGTGATAGTGATGATGTCATCTCCGCCTACTTCAAAGAAAGTGAAGCCAATCATGGATGCTACTTTTACTATTTGTTTAAGATAGAGGAAATAGCTGGCTATTTGATTTAAGGATAAAGGCTGATTCAAAGGTAACCAGTTTGTGGTAGATAGTTGTAGAATGTTTTATCAGACTGCACTGTTGTCATTTTAAATGTGATGTAGACCCACCTAGAATTTACACTGAATCATCTGGGTCACCGTAAAATACATGAGATAATCAGTTTAAAAAGAGAAAAGAGTTATTTTGGCTCACAGGTTTGGAGGGTTCAGTTCACGGTTGCCTGGCCCTGGTGCTTTTGGTAAAGCAGTGTGTCACTGTGTGGAGTATGTGGTGGAGCAAAGCTGCCTCCATCCTGGTGGCAAAATGGGAAGTAAAAGGGGAAAAGGGTAGAAGAGATTGAAGTCTCACATCTCTTCAGAATGTGCCCCTCCTGGCTCCAGATCCTGAGTCAGCCCACCTTTTAACATTTCACCACATCTTCACAGTGCTGCTCTGGGGAACAAGCTTTCAACCCATGGGTGGGCCTTGGGGCCATTCCGGATGGAAACTCACATCGCCCATACACTGGGCCTTGGCAGCGCTGACCAGACCTCTTCTCGACTGGCTTCACACATGCAGCATGTCAGACTTGAGTTTGAACTTCCAGTTCTGAGGCTTCTCCTCCATTGGTCTTGGTGCAGAAGTGCACCTCTTTGGTAACCACTTACTTTTTTCCTTTTTAGATAGATAAATTATTCAGTTGTATTTGATCACTTTTTTTTAATGTATTTAATACAGGGTCTACAGGATTGCACTATGTAGATCAGACTCGTAGTGATCCTCCTGTTTTCAGCCTCCCAAGCATTGGGATGACAGGCACATGTCACCACGCCCAGTCTTAATCTCCATCTCAGCATGCCCTGGGGGCAGGGCCAGCATAGCATGCTGGGGATTGAAACCTGGTCCCTGCACCTGCCTAAGAAGGTGCTTTAGTCCACTGAGCTGTCTGGCCAGTCCCTTCATCACTCTTATAACTGCTTTTCACCTTGTTTGTTAGGGGAGACATGGCTGGTTTGCCTCTTTTGTTATAGAAAGAAGAAATAAAAAGATCATTTTTGGGTTGGAGATACAGCTCAGTGGTACAGCACTTGCCTGGCAAGTACAAGGTCTTAAGTTTGATTCCTAGTACCAAAGAAAAAAGTTATTTAAGACCAATTTAGTAAATAAATTCAGGGAGAACTTGGGACCAGAAACTCATGTTCTGTACAGAAAAGGACAACCTCAATGAACTCAAAATAATTTTGTAATTAGCACTTATGAAAACAAAAGTAATTAGCACTTACAGTAAATTTAATTTGTAATATTTTATAAAAATTGTTCAGAATCGTTCTTAAGCATTATAAGGGAAATATACTTAGAGTACAAAAATTTTATAAATACTATACTTAAATTATTTGGGAATTGGGAAATGTATTTTTACATTGTTTATATCCAATCATTTTTGTATTTTTCAACTTAAATCCTGTGGATCTTATTTCTCCTAATGTCAAATTTTGTAGTCTTCTTTTTCAATAAATTCATTTAATTGAAATGTTTTTACCTTTGTGGTTGTTTATATAGAAGCATGATGGCTTGATAGGTTTCTCACGTCATTGTGGGAGTTGGCTTTACTACCTTGTGTATGTGTCTTAAACAACAAGAAGAGCATCGTATAACATCACATGAAGTACTAGGTTGTGGGTCTCACCAGTGTAAAAGGTGAGGCTAGGGAAGAAAGCAGTCCATTTCCTTTGCATGAGCTGTCTTTTTGGAAAGCTACAATACACACTTACAATACTTTTAGAGTGCTCCATATGAAAAGTTATACAAGAGGTTAGCAAGCTAAATGTCCTTAATTACTTTCACAGAAGCACATTAGATACTGTATCACATTTCTGGGTGTGGCTAAAAATACTGAAAACAAAATAGACACTTTCTGTTCAGTGATTCAGGAAATGAAAAGCCAAACTAGGGTGGTTCTGGTAAAGCTACAACTATTTGTACAGTTTGCAAAATTCCTGCCTCCAGTCTATCTGAGAATAACACGGTCTTTATAGTTGTCAAGAACTCACTGGAATTGGTACATTCTTCAAAGTTTTTGGGTTTTGTTTTGATAAAGAACATATTAATATGCAAAAAGTTACAGCGAGCAGAAAAATTAATTAAATGGTCTTATACAGTAAGAACATCACTAGAATTCAGGGTAGAGCAGCAGGTTTGTTTTTCCCTGCTTACAGTCCCAGCTATGCGGGAAGCTGAGGCAGCAGGAGGTCACTTAAGCACAGGAGTTTGTGAACAGCCCAATAAATCCATTGCCTGGCAGTGTCATCGTGGGCCCAAGTTCTCATAGTTTCTATCTGTGTTGCACTGTGAATTTGTGCTCAGAGTTGAGCCTTATGGTATACAAAGGTGGTGGCAGAGTCTCTAAGTTTCTTGTCTCTTTTTTCCCCCTATAGCAGTATGCAGAGTGTTCTCTTAAGCTGTTCTTTTTTGCTGAAGTCTCTTGATGGGCTTTACCTATTTATTTGTCTTGCTAAAAGATATTAGGAATACTTTTTCAGAATCACTTACTGACATGGATAGTGAAAAACTGTAATTGGCTAAAAATAATCAAGATCCTCCCACCTTAGATTTTGGAGATGCCTGACTTGGAAGCTGATAGCCTTATACTACCTGAGAGTTGGTTCTGCTAGCAGAGGAAGAGCCACTGTGTGGGGTTGGCAGTATCTGTCAGCGCTATGTTAAGGGTTGTGTCCCAACTGGGAGAATTCAAATTAGTGATGCTCTTAGCAGAAATAAAATCAATTAAAGCATTTGTGGTCTTTTTTTAAATTTTATTTATTTTTGTATTGTAGGGAAAGGTCTACAGGGTGTTCAGGGTCTCACTACTAGGTTGGACTCGTAGTGATCCACCTATTCATAGCCTCCCAAGAGCTGGCATTACAGGTGCGTGCCAACACACCCAGTCTGCATTTGTGGTCTTAACTATTTTTTAAAAAAATTTTTATCTTAGGGAAGGGTCTACAGGGTGTTCAGGGTCTCACTGCTGGATCAGACTCATACCGATCCGCCTGTTTACATCCTCCCAAGAGCTGAGATTACAGGCATGTACCACCATACCCAGTCTCAATTGCTGTCTCTGCGCCCCAGGGGCAGGGCCAGCACAGCAGGCCCAGGGATCAAACCCCTGTCCCCTGCGCCTGCTTGCAGGAGCTTTAATCCACTGAGCTATTTGGCCAGCCCAGTCTTGACTGTTCTGAAACAAAATTAGAAAAACTAACACTAGGTTTATTTATTTTTTAACCTGGCTTTAGTTTTATTTTTATGACTGTAATTTTACAAGTATGTACATCATGGAAAATTGACAAGAGGTGGTATTGTTCTTGACATTTTTGTGTTTGGTTATTTTTATTTTTGAAATATTTCAAGCACTGAGAAGTACAGAGGATAACAGGTAGACACTACAAAGCTTTAGTAGATTTTAATACTTTACTGTGTAGTGTATCTTTTTAAAAATTTATTTGGTTGTTAAAGGGTCTCCTTACAGAGCTCAGACTCATAGTGATCTTCCTGTTTTCAGCCTCCCCAGCGCTGGGATTATAGGCATGCATCACCACACCTGGTGTCGGTGCCCACTTTAGCCCACCCAGGAGGCAGGAAGCATGCAGCATGTGGTGCCAGGGATTAAACTGCGGTCCTTGTGCTTGCCTAAGCAGGTTCTTTAGTCCACTGAGCTATCTTGCCAATCCCAGTGTATGTTTTAAGGTCCCTTGTTTTAAAAAGAAAAAAAATTAAAATACACCTCTGGGCCACTATGTAGCTCAGTAGTAGAGCACTTGCATAGCATATTTGAGGCCCTGGGTTATGTCTCCAGGACCACAGACAAAACAAAATAATATAAAACCACCTCCTGTAATCTTATTCCTCAGTCCTCTTATTCCTTATTCCTTTGACTTATAATAGAATCAAAGATAGGCACTGTGTTAAATTTGGTAAGTCTTGTCTCATTGCTGTTTGTTTCTCAATAAAATTATGGAAAAAAGATTAAAAATTAAAAAGGAAAAGAAAAAATAAATTAA